CAGTCCTCGTGTTGGACATGCATTGGTTATATTTAGTCCATGCGTTGGACATTGGTTATATTCAGTCCATACGTTGGACATTGGTGAGATTTAGACCATGCGTTGGACATTGGTTATATTCAGTCCATGCGTTGGACATTGGTTAGATTTAGTCCATGCGTTGGACATTGGTTATATTCAGTCCATGCGTTGGACACTCGTTACTTTCAGTCCATGAGCGTTGGACAACGGTCACATCTGGTCCATGCGCTGGACAATGGTTATATTCAGGCCATTAGTTGGACGTTTACTTCATGCAGTCTACGGTTTGGACGTTTAATTTATATAGTCCATGTTTTGGACACTTAACCATTTTTGGACATGACACTCATGTGAGTTTGCATGACACTTGTGGTGGCCTTGTCATGATTTCATTTATCGGTAGAGACGGGTTTGTATTTGTTTTATTTATTGTTTCTTGTATTAGACCTCAGGTTTAGTATTTATGGATTTACAATTTAAGATACAAGGTATATACATGAGGGTTTCCTTGTTTGGATTATTTCGCTCGACGTACCTACGCTCGTGTTGTAATTTCCTAAATACCAGAACTCATTGTTGTTAGGACAAATAATTTTATATTATTATGTATTAACTGTATTTTCATATACAACAAGCCCTATCCCTTGGGGTTGGTTGTGATGTTGCTCGCTAGCGCTTTGACGCTCATTGTCCCTCCCCCTTTCAGGTAACGAGCCAGGAGCCCGGAGAATCACAAGATGAGGGCGACCCTTACTAGTGCCTATTTATCCTCTTATTAGATGTATTTTATTTTGTACTCCACTTGAGATATTTTTGGACTTAAGAGGTTTATGTTCTAGAGTTGTAAAGGCTGTGTGCCTTATTTCCTGTATCAGATATTATGTACTTTGAGACATGTTGAGATCTCCAGATTGTTATTATTCATTTCAGACTTTGACTATGTATTCCAGTTTATTTGGTTGAGGAGATGTGTTAATTTGATGTTCTATCATTTCATTAAGTATTTGTTGTAGAACCTTTTACTTGCTTTGTACCTACACCTATTGTTGATTCCTCTAGAGAGATAGTAATTGTGATGGTGAAACATGCTATTGCACGGTGTGGTGCATGGCAGGTTTGACATTCCTGGTTTCACCTCGGACTGCAGCCTTGTGTGAACCCAGGGGCGTCACAGTGCATTATAAAAGTCTATATAACTACTTGTTATACCATGGGATGCTATAGAAACTGCCAGAAGTAATAAACTGTAGAAGCAATCTCAAAGAATCGACTGGAGCATCAATAGGGTACAGAAAGCATCAGTATATGCCTCAAATAAAGTAGGGAGTCACGTCGAACATTTGTCTCCCTCGGAGTCCTTATTAGAAAAGGCTATTCCGTCAATTGCTCTTGTTACAGTGGGTGAGGGTGCTTGGGCTGCTGGTGTGGTACTCAGCAGCCATGGGCTTATACTCACAAATGCTCATATTTTGGAACCATGGAGATTTGGAAAAACATCTCTGCTAGGTTCGATGGAAAAATATGCAGCAACATCTTCTCATGAAAATTCTTTATATTATGTGACAAATGAGCATGAAGCATCGTTCTTGAATTCAAATTACAGAAGCTATGGAAAAATATCAGTTTGCTTGTGTTTGCATTGTAATTATAAATACCCATGAGACTAATTTTTGCAATCTGATTTCACTTAGATCATGGAACATAATGATTTATCTAATAGCAACGAATTAACCATAATTTTGCAATCTGATTTCACTTAGATCATGGAACATAATGATTTATCTAATAGCAACGAATTAACCATAACCATGTCTCAACTGCAACTTAACATGCTAGCTCTCATGATTTTCAAATTCTACTCTTTTTCATCTCTTATGTCGTAATACAAAATCTAGCATGTCAATGATAGTGCAGACATTTTGCTTCAATTGCATGATGTGTTGATTGTTAAAGTTCTTCGAACCCATTAATATTAATTTTTGATGAGTTGATTACAAAGATAATTGATCCTCTTGTCCTGCCAGGAACTCCTCTTTTAATTGAAGATACATTGAGGAAAAACCTACAAGAGAAGCATCAGCTTGAATTAACTAAAATGAATGGTTCAAGTATTGATCTCCATAGCTTAGTGAAATCAATATACATGCTAGGTGTGGAAGATTCAAATTGGCCCCTGACATAGTTTATCAGATGATTCTGATCCTTTTTAGACACAGAATGAATGAGGAATTTTGTCCAATGCTGCAAGATACAAGAGAATTCAGCATTAATGATATTATTAAAAAAATAATAATTTAAACAAACTGGAACAAAAAAATGAAAAGAAAAATAAATGAACCATTAGTAATATAATTCTTCCCCCTCTTCTCTTTCTGTGACTTGTTATTCTAGAAGAAGTATATAACAACATAAGTTTCCTGAGTCATAAGAGACATCAAGGTTTCATCTAGGGCAAGTCATTTCTACATGGAACATAAATTTTATTACAGAATTGTCTTGCAAAACATAAGACTTTATAATATTGAAATGTACGGCTTTATGTAAAGAGAGAAGGGGAAAAAAGAATCTTCAGATTCTGATAGCAAGTTTCAAGGTCATCATTAACCAAAACATGGTAAAAAATACCTGGGGATCTTCCATGCTCGAGCTCAATTTTCGCATTTCTTAGCCTCTTTTGAACTTGTTACTCAGTTTCTATTCCCCTACATAAAGCACAATAAGACACAAATACACTACATAAGATTTACAATATAAGAGAATGTATGTCACACTACATAAGATTTACAATATAAGAGAATGTATGTCTGCATAGTGAGTTACGCTTTTGAAAATACTCCAAAATGTCTTATATACCGAGAGCGAAGGCGTGTATGTCTGCATAGTGAGTTACGCTTTTGAAAATACTCCAAAATGTCTTATATACCGAGAGCGAAGGCACTTCTCAAGCTCATCAAATGATGGGTGGCAGATAAATACCAAAATCACTTCAAGAGAGCTTTCCCTCATTGATGTAGCACCCTGAACATCTATGTCGAGAATACATCTCTACAATAAAGAAATTGAAGAAAATATTATCAAATTTACCTATTGCACAAACACAATAGTGATTAGCTGCCAATGATTTCACATAAATTACACAGTTATTTGTTGAATTCATGTATTTGGGCATTCCAATTGATCTGTCTTTGCCATATTGAACAGTAACCTCTAAGGATGTTCAAATATACTACAAACTCCACCATCCTCTATGTAAATCTGTTTATATTCTTATGTTGTTTTCTAATGATATGTCATTATCCAAATGATATAACGCAATTAACTATATACTATCAATGTCATAAAGTCTGAAATACAAGATGAAAACAAGATGAAGATTACAAATCTCAAAGAAAATCTTCAACTGTTAAAATTCCAGATTTATTCAACCGCTTGTGGAATGAACCATCCTTCCTGATTTTTTCCAATCGCCAGACCTCATCCTTTAGAGGAGGTTTGTAGTGTTTCTTGTATACTGTAAAAAGTTAAAAGGAAAGAAGTTTTTAAAAGATAATTTTTGAGGGGACTATAATGGACAACTGCAAATAAACATGTAGCAAACACACATTCCCCTCTGTTATCTTTGCCGTTAAAAGCTTCCTTTTTTGCCTCTTGAACGCGAATTCCCTCACAGAATCCTGAAGCAACCTTCAGACCAAGCCTAAATTTTCTACTACGTATTCAGCTAGATATGTTGGTAAATATTAGGTCTCCTAGGGTACTAACACCTTCTTTAAGTGATACCTGCAAATCCCCAGTCAATAGTGGCCTCTTTCATTCTCGTTCTTTGACTACATGGCTTTCAAACTCTTCCTTTATCCAGCCATCTTCATCTTCATTGTTGAAATCACCCTCAAGAACAACAATGTCTAATTTTATAGATGCCTTAGTTCCTGATGTTACAACATGGACAGTATTTGCATCGAGCAATACAACATGAATTGCAGCTTGTCATAATTTAGAAGTTGATAGATATCATGCAGCTTGAAATAAGTTTGTTAACTATCATAAATGCTATGGATGATATGACGTGCCTCTTTTCTTTATAAATGAATAAGATTTGACATGTACCTCTTTGTAGGAATTGCAGGTACACAATGCTTTGCCACTTCAGCTCCGTTCCCATTCAAGACAAGAACTGACCTATATAGAAATGGTAATACGAGATTTAGCGAAGATGCGCACGCACTATGATTAAGCATCTTCTGAGTATGACAAGTATGAGTGTGAATTATATGATGGCATAGAATAAGATTACATATTATTTGTCCCACAAACTTAAGTTTTGTAGAAACAAGTTAAGTAATATGTCTTGATCAGAAAACTTAAAAATTAAACATTAGCATAGTTACCTTGGATTATAATAGTCCTTTCAAGGCCAAATAGTAGGTGGGAAATCACCAACTCTGTGTTCTGGGTTATCATAACGACCAAAGCACAAATCAAGTCCTCCCAGATAGCATATTTGATTGTCAACAATCACAATTTTGTCATGATGCGACCTGCACTTAACCAGAGTTTATTCATAAGCACAATTTCATGATGTATTATCTTCTCATAAAAAATAAATCTTAGGGAAGGGATGATTGATTCGTGGAAGATTTCATACCACAAGTAAACACGAGTTGAGAAATGATCAGGATAGTGCAGAACTTTAACATTCTCATGAATGTTAAGCAGCCTTCGCTTACTGCATATACTATTGATTTTCAAAGCAATGGAAACTTCTTTGTAAAGAAGGATGTAAATCTACACATTAGTGTTAATTAGTTGACAATCATGAGCAATTAGGATAAGCTACTCCACAAAAAATTTACAAATATATGTAGCATATTAATTAGAACCAAATAATTCAACTTCTTGATGCTAATAGAAAATATGACATATTATCATTGACATGTAAAGATGATCCATGCTTCCATGTCAAACATCGTACTTCAATTTCTGTTATAGGCGATAATATTGTTACAAAGCGAATAAGATAATGCAAGAAAGCTTTACTATAGTCACGACATCAATAATTTCAGTGAATCAAGGTTGATGAACCAACTAACTAAAACTAAAATAGAACAAGTGAAACAACACATGGTAATGCTGATAAATACGTGAACACCCTGTTTTGCCTTTGCCTCTAGCAATGAATCAAGCCGAGAAGACGCATGAATGTGAAAATGACGTCGAAGGTATAACTCAGGACAGAGCCACAAGACAGTAATGAATATCTATAAACAAAATTCAATCATTTCAGAATTGTCCCTGTTAATACTTTGTAAATTTCTAGTTTCACATTATTGAATTGAGTGAGTGAAGAAACTGACCTCTGATTTTGCTACTTCAATAGAAGAAGCAATTGAACCAAATGCAGCTTGTCCATCAACAAACCACTGGATCTGACTGCCATATTCTGTTAACCCCCTAGGAGGATCAAAAGAACCAAAACAGTGAGGCATACACCAGCCCCCCGGTGGTCGTAGTCCCGCATCATTTATTGCCACAACCCAATCTTTAACTTTAGCACTGCTTCTCACTCTAAATTTAATGGTCCTGTTCCCGCATGATACCTTTGAGATGAATGTAGATTAGAGATTGAACCCAGAACAATGAAATCTTCATCAGTACCAGAAAATGAAGGCCAAAATTTAATACGAAATGCAATACAAGTGCGGGCTAAGTCAAAATCGACGACAGTAGTAAAACAGTTCCAAAAAAAAATCAACCACAATAGATTATATCAATATTGCTAACAGTGTCATGAATGTAATAAGATCAAGTTCAAGTACCTCTTGATTCAGAAATTTATCGAAAATATGAAAATTTATAAATGTAAACCAATTGCAATGCTCCGAATAGAGTTAAAGCTTATTGCATAAAATTTTACTCTAGCAATGCTCCGAATAACAACAGTTAACTTACTGACTTATGACTTACGTAAAAAGACCAAGGAAAACAAAGTCTACTAATACAACATGTTTTCATATAGGAATCTAACCCATAACAAAGACACTATATGAGCCTAAAACAAATGACATCACAACCTGAGAAAATGGTAGCGATGCAATAACAAATTTGCATTTTCCACTTGACATGTATATTTGACGCTTCATGAATCATTTTAGTTAGATAATCATTGTTTAAACGTCAAAAATACACAATTTAGAGTGCAAATCAAACTATATGCATCAATCTATCTAAGGGATGAATAAAAACAACATAAAACAGGTCAACCAAAAATGATAACTCAATTGTGCAGAAAATTATACATAAAAAGAAAAAAAATAATCATGGGAGAAATATAGCAAAGGGACATGAAGCTTACTGCATAATAAGCTTTCTTAATTTCTGAAGTAGATGCATTCTTACTCACTCCCAGTACATCATAATAGTCCCTTGCAAGCGCCGGCCTTGTTCCTAAAGTAATAAAAAAAGCATCCAGTAAAGAAAAATAAACTTTTACAAAACATTAAATTTATTCAATAGAGAGAAAACCTACTATGAAAATTCCTCTTATTCATATAAAAGACGCCACTTTGAACACAACTCGTCCATTGTCCTACATAGTTTAGTCCTCATAAAATAAAACCCCAAAACCAATTAATTCATAATACAATGAAGAACGTACCTTTTCCCCAGTTAGAGTTTGAGGAAACCGTAGACGATGAAGTGCATATCCAACGTGATTACTGCTATGACTACAAACATCCAAGCAAAGAAATAATCAAATTACCGACGGATAATTGAAAAAATTCGAGAAAATTTGGGGGGTTGGGGGGGAAGTGGAACGACCACTTGCCTAAGGTTCATCATAAGTATATATATTATTCCAATGAAATAAATAATTTATAAGAAATTTGATACAATGGTTTTGTAACGCTATATAGGTTATCCATCATTTTGTGAAACAGAACAAACTTATCTCACTTCTAGTAGAGTTGTCCATCATAACAGATGGTCTTGCAGTAGGTGTTTCAATAAGAAGAAGTCGTAATATCATCCAATATGGACGATCTTCTTTCGGTTTGAAACCTAGTAGTAAGCAGTCTTCATTGATTATTCTTTTAAGAATACTGATAACCTGTCCATGTCATAAAACAAAAAAAAATTTGGACTACTGAAAGAAATAAATTAGAATAACAATTTTGCAAAATTAGCTACCTTCTGATGAGGACAAGAATAGCAGTTTTTTTTTATTTAGCGATTTTCTATTTTTGATAGGATTTTGAATTTTGAATTTTTGAATTTCGAATTTCGAATTTTTATTTGGTAGTTAATTGATTGTATTTGATTATGAGAGAGATTTGAGGAATCTGAGTGATGATGAAAGATTTGTATTTTCTCTTATTTAAGAACTCTTGTAATCAAATGTAATCATTGAAGAATAAAAATGAAAAATATTTTGCTTAACTGAGGTGTGAAACCATAGCAATAGTTTTTCGTTTCTTCTACATCGCCAAAAAAAAAAGAAACAACACTGTTCATCTTCTTCCTCCAGGCAATCAACTCCCAAACCCACAACCGAATCCATCTCTCTTCTCCCGTCGACCATCAGCACCGCCTTCCACCCCCCTTCTTCATCCTCGCAAACGCCACCCACTCCTCCACCCCCAGCCGAGCTCCCTAGCACCTCCAACAACCAACATCCCCCTCCATGTCGAACAGCCCCCCTCACTTCATTTCTTCCCCACTGCTGAAAACCCCAATTCCCCCATCTTCTGCAACCGTCAGTCACCTCTCCCTTCACCGAGAAACCCTCACCTGAACCCTAGCTTCTGTCCGTCCCCAAACAACCTAGCCGCCGTCCAAAGCCCTACTCCCCTTCACCCTCGAGCCACCACTCCCCCTCTTTCTTTCCCCCTTTTCCCCATGAACCCTTCCTTGGCTTCCCCAAGCAGTCCGACCGCCCCCAACCCAAAACTCCCTGCGATCACCCCTGTTTCCGTCCAAGCTTTTAGCCCCCGCGAGCCTTCACTTGTTCGCCTCCTCCCCCAGCTCGTTGCACCCGAACAGTAGCCACCGTGCACCTCTCCTCAGATCGGAGCTGCACCGAACACCCATGGGCTTCTCTTTTTTTTTCCTGAGATGGAAGAAGAACAGAGATTAGATTATATTGATGGGATCAGCTGTGGGCTCCACTGTAGTTAATGGGCCTCTTGGATTCGGGTAACTTCAGATAATCAATACAGCGTGCGGATGATCTTAGAGATCAAGGGAAGGTTTCGTTTTCTCTCTATTATTCTGTTAATCTTAGCTTATTAGTTAATTGCATGAATAATACATCTCTAAATTCTTATCATATATTCGCTGCTTAATTATATCTGTGAGTTGAGAGAACTGAATTTGTGACTGTTGAGAAATCGATATTGATCTTAGAACTTGCAAAAAAATGATAATTAATTTTGCGAATACATTATTCGAGATTGGGCTTGTTTATGGTTATCATTGCAAATCTTGTTAAAATCCATCGGTCACCTTAACTTTTTTTTAAATTACGAATATCATGAATTTTGGCGAAATGATGCGTTGTTTGATTTAGATCACTGATTCCAATGGACCCCCTCCCCCGTTTTACATCATTTTGGTATCAGAGCATGGTTCTAGGGTAAGAAATTTTTTTACTTTTTATTTTATTTTTATTTTTAGATTAGTTGAGTCTTTTATTTGATATTAAAAAAAAACGCATTCATCTCATTTAGCTGTTTGTGCACACCATTCATCTCATCTAATTGTTAGTGCATGACCACTCACACAGATCTACCTTAGGTGAGTCAAGTCAATCAGTTAGTGAGTCCAGCATGTCTTTTGAATTCCTTAAGAAATTCGATGAGGTAAAAAGACAAATAGGTGTCGTAGCTCAGAGCTTAACAAATTTCCAGAATGAAACCAATGAAAGGTTTGCTAGGCTTGAAGGAGCGCGTGTTGCAACTCCGTCGCCACAAAGTCAAGGCTATGGATACCCACCGCAAGGTCATGAGTACGTCGTTCCTCGACCCCCACCTCAACCAGTGTCTGATCCACCAACCTTTGACGGTAAGCTCGGCCCACAAACTTTCTTGAATTGGCTGAAGAACATGGATCGATACTTTGACTGGTATGTCATGACAGAACCACAAAAAGTCAAGTTTGCGGCAATGAAACTCACCGGGCCAGCCTGCCAATATTGGTCCAAATTCGAATCATTAAGATATATTAGTGGTGAGTTACCAATTTTAACTTGGCAAGAAATGGCTGATGAACTAAAAAGGGAATATCTTCCACTAGTTAAAATTAATAAGCCGTATATGACAGAATCAAAATCTATTCTTGAGAAAACCGTTAATCAGGCCGTAGATTTGATAGAAATTAACTCTGCAAAGGAATTTCAGTATAGTAAAATTAAAAATCCACGCACTTCCGTTCATTCTGAAACTACCTCTGTAATTATGGAGTTCACTAAAGTTTCATGCAATGACAACACTCCGACTATTCCCCAAGCTACCCCTTTGATCACGGAGTCCACTGATGTTATCCCTGAAGTTGTTCTTGAAATCGAAACTCCAACTCTTTCTGAACCAACTCCAGTGATTGAAAACGCTGTTGATGTTCCCCACAGAGTCCTTCCGGACCAACATGATCCCCAACACGTTCCTGATATGGGTCCTAAAGCGATTCAATCGGATATTTGTATGGAAGTTGAATACCAAATTGAGCCTAGTGAAATAACTACCATATTAGATGTCAAACCCACATGCATTGTCCCGATAGTCACTCACACATACACTGATCCATTTTGGGAAAATATAGTGATTAAGAATACAAGTTGTGGCACGAGTGTTTTCATTTCCTTTTTCTCTCATGTCAAGTGCACCAAAACACTCATATTTCACGCATGTGTTTGCATGTTCCTCACTATCACTGTTAGAACGAGAAATTTGTTTTGCATATTAACGAATGAACACCTAATTATTCCATTTGATAGAGGACGTTATGCATATTGAACACTTCGTTGAGTTTACATCTGTCATTGATCACATTGTTTGAGTTTGCATTTCATCATGAACAATTGAGTTGATTTACATCATTTTTATTTTGCATTGATCATATAATGGGGAATCAGTGATCTAATTTGAATAAATACATTGTTAGTTGAAATATATGATATGGAGTCAAGACATTATTTAAAATTGTTAATGCTGATATTTTAGATGGTTTGGACTTGTCCAATACAGTTCTTTATTGCTGTTTAAGATTTGACATGATATTTATGAACTTTTCCAACTCTTGACTAATTAATGGCAACATTTATATTATCGATTTGGTCATAGTTCTATTCTCAATATTGATTGATTAAACAGTTCACAATGTTATTGGCAGTCCACTGATATAAGCCTGACCCTAGCTCATTGTTTCTGAGAGTTGTTTCACTCTACCCCCACTTCTATATATTCACCCATGCAGCAGTGAATTTTGATAATATTTTAGATGGTGAATTTACAATGCAATTTAACTAATGATTTGAGATGCAGGAAAGTATATGATGGCAGATTAAGATGCAAGTAGATTATATTGAAGATCACAAGCTTCTGCAGCTAACTCGACGGAGTCGAGTTTTCTCCCACCCGGGGAGAATGATGAGGACAAGAATAGCAGTTTTTTTTTATTTAGCGATTTTCTATTTTTGATAGGATTTTGAATTTTGAATTTTTGAATTTTGAATTTCGAATTTTTATTTGGTAGTTAATTGATTGTATTTGATTATGAGAGAGATTTGAGGAATCTGAGTGATGATGAAAGATTTGTATTTTCTCTTATTTAAGAACTCTTGTAATCAAATGAAATCATTGAAGAATAAAAATGAAAAATATTTTGCTTAACTGAGGTGTGAAACCATAGCAATAGTTTTTCGTTTCTTCTACATCGCCAAAAAAAAAAAAGAAACAACACTGTTCATCTTCTTCCTGCAGGAAATCAACTCCCAAACCCACAACCGAATCCATCTCTCTTCTCCCGTCGACCATCAGCACCGCCTTCCACCCCCCTTCTTCATCCTCGCAAACGCCACCCACTCCTCCACCCCCAGCCGAGCTCCCTAGCACCTCCAACAACCAACATCCCCCTCCATGTCGAACATCCCCCCTCACTTCATTTCTTCCCCACTGCTGAAAACCCCAATTCCCCCATCTTCTGCAACCGTCAGTCACCTCTCCCTTCACCGAGAAACCCTCACCTGAACCCTAGCTTCCGTCCGTCCTCAAACAACCTAGCCGCCGTCCAAAGCCGCCGATCAGCCCCGCCGATCCCGCCGTCCACCGCCGCCCCTGAGCGCGTCCGCGTTGATGCCGTCGGGTTCTCTTTCCTTGAGATCGAATGAGAACACAGGAGAGATCAGAATATAATGACGTGTGTGGACTTGTTGATTTGATGATCTTTGGGCTTCACTGTAGAAGCTAATGGATTTTGGATTTCTCTCAGCATTTTGGATAGTAAACTCTCAACTCAGTAATTTTCTGTTAATCTCATAATTATCAGTTAATTGTGTGCGTATTAACTCTCTAAACTATTATCATATATTCACTGCTTATATCATATCTGTGAGTTGAGAGAACTAAATCTGTGACTGTTGAAAACTTGATATTGATCTTAGAACTTGCAAAAAAATGATAATTAATTTTGCGAATACATTATTCGAGATTGGGCTTGTTTATGGTTATCATTGCAAATCTTGTTAAAATCCATCGGTCACCTTAACTTTTTTAAATTAATTTTCTACCGAATATCATGAATTTTGGCGAAATGATGCGTTGTTCGATTTAGATCACTGATTCCAATGGACCCCCTCCCCCGTTTTACATCACCTTCTCTGTAGAAATTTATTGTTTCCTCTCAACAGTTTCAGGAATCTATGCTTGGTCATCAGATTTCTTGCAAAGGACTCATCAACAATAGTTTGTGTGCAGTATAGATAAGAAAAAATTAGTTGACATGAAAATTTAAAGTAATAAAGTGAACTATTATCCGAATATGTATTTAGATTAACATAATTGAATGTTAAATTTAAGCTAATAACTACAATAACAATCAAAGCATGCAATAGTTATCAGACAACTATATGAGCATATGTTTATAAATCATAATTTGTCCTAACAAATTAAATTCATCAGTTCATAATCTTAAAAGCATATGAAAAGTTCATTTGAAATCCTTCAACCAATTTGTAAATATAATGAAAATTAAAAATTGTTCATGTTTAATTTTTGTGGGCCCTTGATCAAGACTTCTCCATCTTTATCTTCTTTTTTGGTAAATCGAAAACTGAGTCATCGTCATCAATGTTGATTGTGATGTCTTTTTGTATTTGGATTTCTTGTGCTATTATCTTTCATTGTGCACGTTCATCCTTTGAGTTCTCATCCAAATTTACAAGGAACTTGTATGTCTTTCCAATGTTGAGAACAAACTTTTGAAAGAATGAACTCTGATTATTTTTCTATTTTAATAAGGAAAAAATTAAGATCTTATACATGAAACATATTGTTTTATATGTATAAAATATAATAAAGTAAGAAGTTACCTCTTTTATATCATCCATGAATTTTTGAGGCTTGCATCCTATCAAAGTTTCTGATGCGTAAAAAAATGTTACTCTTGCATTATCTGTTGCATCTTCAACTATGATTTTAACCAAATACCTACATTTTGTATTATCATTGTGCATCGGATGATATTTTTATATTTAATCTTTATATTTTTCTTTCATGAGTAATTGATAGTACTTTACCTCGGTATACAATCTTCATTGTTTTTTTTTGATAATTTTGACATTTGTCATAAATAGTTTTTTCTACTTTTTTATTGCAGCCTTTGCAGGAGTAGTACCAAGCCTCATGCCTATTTAAGATAGTAGTTATTTTTACCGTAAAGCTGCCATATTGTGCTTGTAGAGTTGTAAAAATATAGTTAGTTATAATCGTAGTTTATATGTATTTAGTAAATAAAATAATAAATTATAAAATAATTGGAAAAAATATCAGCTTGTTTTGAAACTGAAGCTCTTGATTCATTAATATTTTATAGTAGGATTTTTAATATCATATCTTTGATGTTTTTTGTGAAGCTTGCATAATGTCAACAATATTCATTTTTGCTGCATTTTTAAATAGCCTTGAGAGAGCAACATTAGTCTTGATATTGTCTTTTGAAAGAGCCCTGCACATAATTTTAAAAATATTGAAATTTTAATTTATTAAGTTACCTTTTTTATTTGAATTACCATTCTTGCATGTCCTTAGCAAGCTATATTTCAGGGTTGATACATATTGTTAATGCAATTTGCGAAGTCACGCACATCTCCCCTGCATATATAATAATTATAATTAGAATTTGATATTTTTTGATAAATAATTTACAATTTAATAATAAAAAATGTTACCTTTGTACAATGATATTTTAAAATCTGATAGTGCTATTATAGTTGTCTAATTCATATTGCCTTCAATAATTGAACCTTCATTCATTGCTAAATCTCCAAATAAAGTTATAGACAATGTTATCTCATTGTGTAAGAAAAGTTAGATAATTTTTGGTTAATATATTATATTTTGAATAATTAATTTATTGTGAAATAAAAGCATGCGTATATACTCTTTGTCTACTATAATGATGTCCCGTCTTTTGTCCGCCTTATTATATCTTGTAACGTACTTGATCATAGGCTTGACATTTGCTATCATTGCAAGAACATCTGCACATAAATTTATAACAAGTTTAAAATTCATTTATAATTTTTTAAATTTAAAATAAAAGGTTTTTACAAATACTTACTTATATTCCTTGTATCCTCGTTGGAAATTTAAAATTAAAAGGTTTTTACAAATACTTACAAGTTTAAAAGGTTTTTTAAATTTAAAATAAAAGCGGGTTTATTGGTTTGACTTCTCCATTTGAGATGTAAACAACATGATTCTTTTGAAGCATATGCTTATACATTTCAATAGTTTCTCCAAACATAATACCTTGTATTTTTTCCCCTGCAAATATTACTAATATTATCTCACAAATAACTAATACATTAACATTCATTTAAGCTTAAGATAAATAAGATAAGTGATAGATGACGTAAGTTATGTATAAATGTATTAATTAATGCTCGTGTATTACATTTTAAAGATATTTATAAGTTACTTTTTTTAAGAATTTAGCTTGATCATGCAACTAAATAATAAATTTATGGTCAATATGCTTATTAAAAATTTAGTCTAAATAATAACTATTTTGTTATAGTGTGTATACAATGTTTTGTTGATGTCATATGCACATTATTTGTTTGCTTATATTGTTAGACATATGTAGACAATTAATTTACGTAGAATTAGGAAGAAAGCATGATATTTGTTGTAGAAAATTTACGAAAATGAATTGCATGTTTCTTACCTCTTTAATAAATACATGAATTATTTTTATATGATCTTATACACAGTAAGGTGATAATAATTAATATAAGAATAAGCATCAACAATTATAATTTAATTTATATTTATAATTTATAAATTTTAAAAAATTAAAAATTCTCTGCATAGATTTAAATAACGATTGCTATGGCATGATAAAAAGTGATGCATATTGTACTTACACATTGTATGTATTACTTTATTTAAGAATAAGTATCAACAATTATCAATAGAATTATAACATGTAGAATATTGCTATATTACCTCTGAGTCGGTGAAAATTATTTTTAGTAGTTTTCCTAATCCTTTGTTGTTCTCATAAGAGGACTCAATAGTTCTTAGGATAACAACATGAATGGTCCAGTCTCTTTGAAACTTTTTTAGTTGGCATATTTGGATGTGTGGAATTGTTGCTTCGTTGGTGGATGACATTGTTCCTACAAGATTTTGAATAGTTTGTTATATATAAATAACAACACATCTGAAGTACTAAATAAACTCAAAAGAAAATAAAATGATACTATTTCTATATCAAAGATATAACACTAATTATAGTAATTTGAATTTATTAATTAATATTATTTACAATGATTTGATAAAAATATTCTAACCAAATAGTCTGAATATGGCTTCATTTGGTCTGACTGCCATATTCTATTAATTAATATTATTTACAATGTGTAAAGTTATTTTAATTTTGATTAGTACATGATTTTGAACGAACAGAGTGAATGATATAATAATAATTTGTAATTTTTTAATTTTTTTAAGAAAAAAACTTTAATAAAATTACAGCTACTTATATTATATAAATTCCCAACCTTCAAAAATGTTATTTGTCATTTGAATTATTCCTCGTGATCCTTTGGCTTGAGAACTTCCTTGTATACAACATTCTTTGTGTATTGTTCCTCTTCTGCAAATTTTCCATATGATGTTATTAAGACCTTGGTTGTCATCATAGAAGTACCCCACGATAAAGCAACATATAATTGCCCATGAGAGAACACTGGTTCAGGTAGATAAATACCTACATTAGGTATTGTTTGCCATTGGGATTTATTAATTATCATTGCAAAACATAATCTTATGGGAAATTATTTGTGTTTGAACTTGAATGGTAATCCTTCATCTTTTGCTGGTGACAATGGTATTCTTAGCAAGAAAACTTCTTTCCCAGCATGTTGGCCCATTGTGATTTTAGCTTGAATTACATTGTAGTTAAAATCTTGACATACCATTCTTGTACCATTGCACAGTCCATTAGTTGGATAAATACCTACGTTAGGAAAGATAATAGCACAACGAATTGATAAAATATAGGCTAATTTCTTTTCACAAATGAATTATTTTATGACCGTTGGCTAATAAATAATAGAATTTTTGGATTTTTAGGGTCATAAAATAATTATTCCATAATTCAGAACATTAGCTGAATATTAGCCTAAAATGTGTTAAATAAGAGGGGAATAAAAAAAATCCAATGTGAGAATGTAATGGCAAATTAGAAGATATACATATATACTTGGAGGGTAAATATTCAAATAGGTAGATTTGATGGGTAAATAATATATTCCAAGAAAAACCAAAAGTATGACATGTTTTGAATTATTTTTAGGGTCACTGAATATATTTTTAGTGACCCTAAATCTTGTAGAAAATATATTAAGCTGAATTATACGAGGAATATCAGCTTAATACATATATACAAGGAATAATTCAGCTTAATATATTTTTAGGGTCACTGAATATTAGCCTATATTCAGCTGAATTATGTTAGCTGAATTAACATTTTTATTTATAAATAATAGTCCAATTTTTTTTAACAAAATTCTAGATAAAAGTATGGTTAATTTTATCAAAGTATGACCGTTGGTTAATTCAGCTTAATTATTTATCAATGTTAGACCAACGGTCATAGAATAATTCAGCTTAATATATTTTCTACAAGCAGTCAATAGCTACTTCTTGTAAAAAATGTCAAATTATTTTACAAGGTCCATAGTAGACTAATTTAACATTTTTATCGCCTAATTGTTCCATTAATTACTTTCAATTTAAAATAATAGTAGACCGTTGGCTCCCACTGTGAAATACTTTCTGTGCAATGCCATATGTACTACTTTGATGTAGTCTAATATAAAATAATAGTAGACCGTTGGCTCCCACTGTAGTCGGCAGTTTGTTTTCGTCGAAAGTTGATTTTGATATGGAATCCATTAAAACTTCAATCGCTTACAATGAATTACACAACAAAATAAGAAAATTATAACTCTCTAGAAAATAACACAGGAATCGTTTATCAACTCCTGCTTTTGTGGGATCTTTGCCTATGTGGGGGTACGTTAGCCCGTGGACCACCAATTCACAAGATTCTGATTGAACCGTGAAGGCTTTTGGGTATTCTTCTTCGTTTATCGAAGTGAGAGTCTTAAGCAAATATCTTATCGATGTAAGATGTTCACTCTTCCAAAGATCAAGTCTGAGCTTAGATCTCTAGGATCGATGTAAGATGTTCACTCTTCCAAAGATCAAGTCTGAGCTTAGATCTCTAGGAATCACCAAAAGCTGTTTATGAAAGATGAATCACTCTTCCAAAGATCAAGTCTGAGCTTAGATCTCTAGGAATCACCAAAAGCTGTTTATGAAAGATGAATACTCTCTTCTTTGCTCAAGTTCACCAAATGCCCAAGTTTATCTGCTCTAATATGCTCTCCCACGACTTTAGGTCCACGAAATGCTACTTTTTTTGGCTTGCAACCAACCATCTACGTCAGTGCACGTTCTCCTTTTGTTATGATGCCACGTGGACCCTCAGAAGATGCTAAAACCGTCAGCAAATCATAAGAAGACACACCTGAAGACTCGCGCCAGTAGTGACTGCCGCGCCTACGCGCGTCAGAGACGACTACCGCGCATACGTGCGTCAGTGACGACTGCTGCACCAACGCGTGTAAGTGATGACTGCCGCGCCAACGCGTGTCACTGATGAGCGTCGGCCATGACTGCCGCGCCAACGC